CCTGAACAGACATTTCTCCAAAGAAGATATACAGATGGCCAACAGACACATGAAAAGATGTTCAAAATCACTAGCTATCAGGGAAATGCAGATCAAAACTACAATGAGATATCACCTCATGCCTGTCAGAATGGCTATAATTAACAAGACAGGAAACAACATGTGTTGGAGAGGATGTGGAGAGAAGGGAAATCTCAGACAGTGCTGGTGGGAAGAGAGGAAAAGGGGAACAGAGAACGGACAGGACAAAGAGAAAACAATTAGCATGACGGTAGATTTACAGCAAATTATATCAATAGACATATTAAATATAAATAGCAGAAACTCTCCATTTAAAAGACAGATGATCTGACCAAACAAAGGAAGACAACTATATGCAGCCTACAAGAAACCCACTTTAAATATAAAGAGAGAGACAAAAAGTAAAAGGATAGAAAAAGAGAAACCATATAACATTAACAAAAGATAGCTGGAGTGGCTAGATTAATATAAGACAAAGTGAATTTCTGAGTAAAGATTATTACCACGGACAAAGAAGCTCATTTAATAATGATAAAGAGATCAATTCATCAAGATAACATTACAATCCTAAATGTTTATGCATGTAATAATAGAGCTTTAAAACACATGAAGCAAAAATTGATAGAACTTCAAGGAGGAACAGACAAATCTACAATTATAGTCAGAGATTTCAACATCCTTCTCTCAATAATTAATAGAACAAGTACACAAAAATCACTAAGGCTATAGAAGACCTAACACTTAATCAACTCGGTGGTCTTATTATCTTGACTGTAGTGGTTTCATGAGTGTACACATATCTCAAAATTTACTAATTTTTATATTTTAAATATATGCAGGTTTTTACAAAATATTAACTATACCTCAATAAAGCTGTTAAGAAACCTCAGTGTAAATCAATGACTTTCTGGAACATTTACAATCACTTAAAATCCAAAGTTAAAAAAAAAGGATGGAAAAAACAAAAAGAACCAGAATTTCATACCTGGTGAATACTGGAAGTTGGGACTGAATAACCTGGACTCTAATCACAACAAGTAATAGTGTACTGAACATCAAAACAATGAGTTTTATTAGTGTTTGCAGCATGGAAAATGGAATACTACCCTTTCCACGGAGAAACTGTCCAGCAGTAGTACATAATAATGGCAAAGTATACTGGAAAAGGAAAAAAAGTTTTAAATAACAAATAACAATATACTACAAAGTTTTTAACAACGTAGTACTTTCTAAATGCAAGATTAGATACAAATTGAATATAATTGTAAAATCAATATGGAATAATTTGTGGAACTGATAATGAATAAAACTGAGCTCAATAATCTTATCCAATAATGAATTACACTGTACAATATTACTGTGTACTTTTCCAAATTGCCTAATGATTCCATTACTGAAACTTAAAAAGCAGTCCTTAAAAAACTGAAGGTGTTATAAAATGTTAAGTAATTTTCAGTACATATGAAGACAAAACATGCTTGTTTCTTACAAATTTTTGGTAGCATTATTGGTAAACAGACTGATTTACATAATGATACATTTAGAAAATAAGTTTATTATAATCCAATTCAAATAGGATAAAAGCAACGATAAAATTCATATCTCTCCTTACCCCCTGGGCAATAAATACTTCATACACACAGCAAATTCCCACAACTGTTATTCCTTGTTCTTTACACAATGTTGCAACAGCTACTAAAAACACTGTCAATGCAATTGGAGTCCACACTGCAATTTAAGAACAGAAAAATATAAAACTACACAAAACAATTTTATAACATTATAAAAGGATATTTTAAGTTAGACAACTATTAGACATTACTGCAAAACCTGACATGATTCTATATTCACATTGCGTTATTTCCCACTGACCTCTACTTTATATTTTAAAATTTATTTAAATGTTGTTAAGTAATTTTTGTTTTATATGTTCAAAACAAAACATGAAGATGGATAACTTGAACTAAAAAATTTCTGTGGAGAGGAAAACTATCTAACCAAATACTAACTTTTAAAACAAAGGTAGGATGGCCAATTTGGAGAAGAGAAACTTACAGGCTTGAGTGTCATGATTCATTAAAGACAAATGTCTGAAATTTTCACACAGATATCTATATACTTTATTATATCTGTAATTTACTAAAAACTTGAAACTGAAAACCACTGGGAAAAGTAGAGTACCATTCTTATTAAAAAGACTATAAAAAATGAAACAGGTTAACAATGAGCATTTAAATCAATACTATTCTTTAAAAAATCTGCAATAGAATATTCACAAGTTCTGTTTAAACAGAAAACCTATTTCATCAACTTTAAGTAAATGCCTACTACTTAGTAGTAATTTGATTGAAGAACACTGAATTGTGAGAGTAATTCTGGATCTACTACTAACTTGCTTTGTGACTTTGAGCAACTGTTCTGAGCCTCAGTTTTCTTACTGGAAAATATGACCTCCAATTCTTTTCCAGTTTTAAAAAATATATGGTAGTATGATTGTGTGACTTCAGTTTTTATTCATTAAGAACAGTAACAAATAATTGACTCAAATCTAGGTAAATAAGAACACAATTCATGAACCTAATATATTTTCTTTTGTTATTTGGCTTAGTAAAGAAACTCATCTATTTTTGAAATTGTTTTCAACTTGAAAGTACTCTAGACCAAAATTACTGAGAGGAAAAACTACTCAAAAAATCCAAAACACTGTTGCAGATACTAAGTATAATAGTATTCCTTTCTCAAAAAAAGTCTCATATTCTAGTTGGGTTAAAATCATCAACAATATTTAATAATAGATTACATCAAAGGCTGAACTATCATGCTGAACTCAACAATAAATTCATAGAGTAAAGAAATCGGTAGATGATTATTCACAATACAAGGTGAACCTAAGGTTGGACCTTGAAGGACATACAGGACATAGAAAAACTGGGAGAGGGGTATGTATGAATAAAGGAGTGGAGGAAGGATTAAGCTTGGCAAATGAATGATATAGAGAAGAGTATGACTGAACAGGTATGCATATATTAAAAACTAGCGGGAAATAATGTCCTTGAAAAGAGATACTTAAAAATATATTTTTTAACCATTTATATAACCAGTTTAGCATACACTATTTAGTATATATTATTTCACTGAGTCTCAAAATCACGTTATGGGATAAAAGTGCAGATACAATCATATCCATTTTTAAGATGAGGAAAGAATTTGGAGGTTTAAAAAAAAGTCATGCAGGGCCAGCCCCATGGCCTAGGGGTTAAGTTCAATGCGCTCTGCTTCGGCGACCCAGGTTTGGTTCCTGGGCGCAGACCTACACCACTTGTCAGCGGCCATGCTCCGGGGGCAACCCACACACAAAATAGAGGAAGATTTGCACAGATGTTACTAGCTCAGGGCAAATATTCCTCAGGAAAAAAAAAAAAAAGTCATGTACAATAAGGAGACCATGACTTCAACTTTGTCCTTCTGATATTAGATTCAGAGCTTCTTACCAATTTGTATTTCCACTCCAAGGAAGAGAAAGAAAACAGCTGCCTTCCATAATGATGGATTCAATCTCAGCAGCTAATAGCTCTAATAAAGGCAAAAGTTTTACTAAAACCAGTCACTTCAGTTTTTCAACCTCTGGTGATTAAATTACTATACGAACACTTATAATCAGAACTCTGTGGCTAAAGTTACCACGTGTGATTTTGTCCAAATAAGTGCCCTTGCTAAATAAGTTAATGACACTTCATTTCGTGGGGGAGAGAGATAATAATTAAATAAACAAGTAAATATGCATTTTGTCGAATGGTGACCTAAATGTTATAGAGAAAAAAAGAAGGTGAAGGGAAATCAAAAGGAGTGGGGAAGATGAGTAGCGCTACTGATGACATCTGAGCAGACACCTAAAGAAATGAAAAAGCAAGTGCACAGGCCCTGAGATGGACCATACTTATAAAAATGGTATGGGGCATGAATAACCTAGAATTTAAAGTGATTAAATAATTGCAAATTGAAAATCTTTGCATAGGACAACATATATTAGATAGAATGGGGAATGCAAAGATGATGATGAAACTGTTTGTGGTCTTAATCGTAAAAATTATGTAACGTGGAGCACAAAGTATCATAGGGGTTAAGAGGGTAGAGACAGGTCCAAGGCGGATTTCAGTATCTTTTCAACTAGAATTTAAAATATATTACATTCATTCACTTGACTGTTTCCTCAACAAATATATACTGAACACCTACTGTACACCAGGAACCATGCTAGGAAATGGAGATAGAAAATGAGAGAAAGTTACCTACCCTAATGAAAGTTACATTCTACTGTGAGAGAACAAACAATAAAGGGGTAAAAGAAAAATGCACATTATGTATTTTTAGGTTAGAAATGAGTCTTATGAGAAATGTAGGTTAAAGAGATAGAGAGGAACATGATTTGGTTTTTGTTTTGGTCAGGTGGTGAACTAGCTTGACCTGTCGACCTGTTGGTCCCTTCCCCAAAAATCAACCCTAGAAAAAGGTTAAGTGAGAGGGGAATATGGCTTCTAAGATATTTAAAAAAAAAGAAACTCCTGGGCACTGAAGGTTATCTTAAACGTGTGTATTTCTGTGAGTGTTATGAGGGACTGCATCTAAAGCAGAAGACAAGAGTGAGAAAAATTTTTTTTAACTTTTGTTCTAGTCAATCCTGACTGCTTCAGGTAGACCATTGTCTGCTCCTTCACTGAAGACATCTGCAGTTACAGTAGCTTGTGGGTGTCCCAGAGATTAAATCAGAGCACTTCAGAAATCTTGCTGGGGTAAGGAGTAGATGTTTTAAAAAGGTGCAAAATGACCAACCACCTTTAGGCAGTCACTTCCACACAGCCCCCATCCAAATGCAGAGGGATGGTGGACTGGCCTTCTCTCAATGCTGATTCTCTTTAGGAGACCTGAGTGGGTGCTTGGTAGAATGATAACAACAGTGATCAACAGTGGCCCTGGGGAACCTGGAGCTCTCCACCCTGGGTTTTAATGAATCACAGGATGGACACAGAGTGGCCCTGGTCTTTCTCTTTAACAGACAAAGTGGTCAATAACTTTAGAACATGCAGCTTGAGCTCACAAGCCAAAATAAGTAGATATCTGAAGGGTACAATAATCAGAAAAGAGCAAACATAATAGCATATACTACTAAATCAGAATTACTTGAAAAGAAAGACAAAGAATTTAAAATAAGTAATTCTAAAGAAAATAAGAGAAGATACTGGAGTTATGAAGAATAAGAAATCATTAAAAAGAACCAAGTAAAATGATTAGGAATGAAAAAATATAATGAAGTGAAAGGTTATTTTAGTTCGAACAGGGAAGGTTTCTCTAAGAGGGAAACAGTCAAGCTGAAGCCTGACAATATAAAGAAGAATGTAAATGAGACTATTATGTGAAGCTCTAAGGGAAGAAAATTCAAGAAAGAGAGACTAGCAAGTATAAAGACAGGTGCTTCACCTGTTTGAGAAACAGCAAAGTCTATTTGGCTATAGTGAAGCAAACTAGGGCAAAAATGGCAGGAGATATGGTTCAAGAGCGAGGCAGGAACCTGATCATGGTCTTGTAGGTCATGGTATTTTCTAAGTTTATCACTCATGCTTTGCTTAGGATGGTATTTAAAGAAGATATTTGTTTGCAATTCTACATTAGCTACTGAACTACCTCTAACTGCATGACAGGCAACAGAGGAAATAGGTATACTGCTTATTATGAACCAGGTACTGCTCTTAAATGCCTTAACATGTTTAACTCATCTAATCCTCACAACAGGTAGGGACTTTTATTATCTCCATTTCATAGATAAAGAAACTAAAGCACAGAGAGGTTAAGTAATTTGCCCAAGGTAGCAAATGACGGATATGGAATGTAAAACCAGACTCTAGAGTCCATGCTCTCAACCTCTATGTTCTGCTGCCACTCAAACTGTTTTAAGAAGGCGTACGTATAAGCAGCAAGAGGCAAATCTACTCATATTACAAATCTAAGAAGACACTAAAGCTGTTTGGCTAAATCACTTATTTCTTTTTTGTTGCTGTTGTTACTTTTTTTTGTGAGGAAGATCAGCCCTGAGCTAACATCCATGCCAATCCTCCTCTTTTTGCTGAGGAAGACTGGCCCTGAGCTAACACCTGTGCCCTCCTTCTGCACTTTATATGGGACGCCACCACAGCATGGCCTGACAAGCGGTGCATCGGTGCGCGCCCGGGATCCGAACCTGCGCTGCCAGCAGCGGAGCGCGTGCACTTAACCGCTACACCATGGGGCCAGCCCCTACATCGCTTATTTCTTGAACCTTAGTTTCCATACATACAAAATTAGACTCCTTATCATCAGTACCTCGGGTCTGTAGTGAGAAAATTCTCCAAGAAGATAAGAAAAAAACTCAGAGATAAATTTTAAGATCAACCAAATTCAGGTTAAGGCCATTATGCAAAGCCTCTTTCATGCCCACTGTACCTACACTCTTAAAAAATCATTTTCGGGGCCGCCCCGTGGCTTAGCAGTTAAGTGCGCGCACTCTGCTACTGGCAGCCCGGGGTTCGGATCCTGGGCGCACACCGATGCACCGCTTCTCTGGCCATGCTGAGGTGGCGTCCCACATACAGCAACTAGAAGGATGTGCGACTACGACATACAACTATCTGCTGGGGCTTTGGGGAAAAAAAGGAGGAGGATTGGCAATAGATGTTAGCTCAGAGCCGGTCTTCCTCAGCAAAAAGAAGAGGATCAGCACGGATGTTAGCTCAGGGCTGATCTTCTCCGAAAAAAAAAAAAAAAATCATTTTCATTACCTGCAACTTGTTTTCTGACAATGCCAGGCATCATTACGACTAAATGAGCTAATGTATACAAAGCATTTTTCAGAGTAGGCGACACGGTAGGAACTCAATAAATAGCTGAACTATGATCAACACACAATAAAAGTTATACTCTAATAGGCTTTTAACTTTGCCTAAACAATACAATTCACAGCCTTCATAGGTGTTATTTATAGAAAGACAATTGAAGGATTGGTACTTGTATCATTTACAGGTAATAGCAGATGAAACTAAGAATGACTCTAAAACTCATATCATAGGGTAACGTTTTAAAAATTAGATCATACAGAATCTGTTAGTTGTGATAAAATATAAACTATACAGAAAAACTTTTAATATTGACAATATTGCATACTTTCATTAGGTCCATACAAATACAAAGATAAACCCCAGATGCGGCATATGTTTTATAAGAAGCACTTGGACTAAATAAAAATTACTTGATCAAGTTTTATAGCTATAGAAAGAAATTAAATGTTAAACATTTACCTATGGAATTATCTGGGCCTTTTGATTTGGTATATGACAAAAATGCAGCTAGAAAAAAGATAGATGACAAAAGTTCTGCTCTTCCTACCACACCTGTTACCTAGAAAGGGAAGGGGTGGGGAGTCATATTAATAAAGAGCATCTTCAAAATTTAACTATACATAATAGCAACAGCACATTAACTAGAAACTAAATTGACATAACTTTCCAAGTGCACGTTTCTGTTTCTTAGACCTTGAGTGCCCTCATGTGGTGAATTTGTGTATCTTCCATCAAGATAAATTTATCAGCGACTCTGTAATAGTTTTTAGTAATACTATTTGGAAATAATTATAGACTCACAGGAAGTTGCAAAAATAGTACAAAGAGGTCCTGTCTACCCTTTACCCAGCTTCCTCCAATGGTAACATCTTACAAAATTATTGTACAATATTTAGAATAGTTCTTACTTTAAAAAAAGAAAAAAGCTAAGTCTTTCTTACATATTTTCTTAAAATACAAAGATAGCATAAATTTAGCAAGGTTTATTTCAATAAACCTGCAAACTAAAGTTTAAAACGACAATAAACTTTAAAGTCCTTTTAAATTCTAGAAATTTAAATATAAAACCCCCAAGTCTCTCCCTTTAAAGTATTCTGAATTCACTGTAAAAAAAAAAAAAAAAAAAGTCTGTTCAGTCAGACACCAAAAGGTTCAAGATAGTGGGAGAGACACACAACCTCCCTCCAACACATACACAGGGCTCAAACATACAGACTTTTGCTTACAACCAAAAGCTTGTAAAAAAAAGCAATTGAAGAGTCCTCTTTGCTCTGCTGAGAGGCAATTTTGGAGTTGCAACGTCACCAAGAAAAATAGTTATAGTTTGAGTATGTCTTGGCAGGTAAGGGCTGATGGATATATTGGCAATAACACAGGCAGTTCACAATTTGGAAACACATGGCAATAGACATTATGAAACTACTGAGAATCATCATTTGTTAGGATATCTGTTCATGTTTGCATATATTTTGATGTATTTTCATCAATTACCTAAATCTGCCTTATTGACTGACTACTTTCTGTCCTTGAAACACAAACAATGCCGAGTTGACAAATATTTAAAATCTATATTCAGGGCCGGCCCTGTGGCTTAGTGGTTAAGTGCGCGCGCTCCGCTGCTGGTGGCCCGGGTTCGGATCCCGGGCGTGCACTGACGCACCACTTCTCGGGCCATGCTGAGGCCGTGTCCCACATACAGCAACTAGAAGGATGTACAACTATGACATACAACTATCTACTGGGGCTTTGGGGGAAAAATAAATAAATAAAATTATAAAAAATAAATAAATAAAATCTATATTCATAAAAAAAACAAGTAAGAGGAAGATTGGCCACAGATAGCTCAATGTGACTCTTCCTCAGCAAAAAAAAAAAAAAAAAAGTAGCAAAGAAAATAACTGTATTTATTTATATTTTACATTACTAAAGTTAAGAGATTATGGCTTATGTTCTTGATTAATTAATAAATGTTTGTTTCAAAAATTATTCTAAAATTAAAAATTTTATGTGGTAGGAAGGTAGATTGTATACTAGGAAGTTAAGACATTATACCAATTTAAGAGTCTTCAAATACTTGGATTAAAAGTCATTGTTAAATTTTTTTCTTAAAAATATAAACCATTATAATCATTGCGTAGGCTTTATAAAAAAAAGAAAAAAACATTGATTTACAGTTTTACTTACTGCTTCTGTGTGTATTGGGTGCACTGCAAAAAGTAAAGAAGCAATCACACTACTCCTGTTGTCCAGAAAAAGTTTGCAGACTTTAAGAAATATCACACTAACCACAGCGTGAAAAATCATATTTAGGAGATGATATGACATTGGCTTTAGTTCACTAAACAGATAATTTAAGCGAAATGTCAATACTGTTAAGGGACGGTAAGACTTGTGGCTTCTCTCCTAAAAGGAAAAAACCGTCAGTGATTATTAAAGTACTTTGGTCATCAAGGGTACATAAACTAATCATTGTATTTACTATTGAAAGTATCTACATTTAGCTGAGACATAATAAGAAAATAATGAAATGCCCCAAGAATAACACAAACATAAAAGACAGCTTTATAATCTGTGTTTGCCTATTTCCTTAGTCCAAAAACTAGGCAATTTCCTCTCTGATATATAGTGGTCAGAGAATTAACAGTAGAAGAAGAACATTTGATTATTAATTCCTCTTCAATACACAGATTAAAAAGAAAAAAGTAGGACAATAGTGGCCTTGATCAAGTTGGAGCACAGTGTTCTCTCCAAAGCTTGCTTTCTAATCTGTCACCTGAATACAAGTGCTTATATAACTGCAGGCTAGGTCTTCAAAAGGAAATATAAGAATGGAATGCTTACCAGTACAGTCTCAATAGCGATGACTCAAAATGGTACTGTCTAGTTGTTTTATGAAAAACATCTCAGAAGATGTTATAAACATCTTATAACGTATAAACCTGAACATAGTAAACTGAAAGTCCCCAGATACTACACAGAGAGTAACACAAGAGCAAAAACTTTCTTAGAATAAGAGAATAGACACCTTTGTTTGGTAGTCTCCATAAGCTATAAATCAAATTTTATGTGAAGTATTGAATTTCTTTATAAGCTAGAAGTTACATTTAACCAGAAATATTTTTACCCTAAGACAAAATCAAATCAGATTTAAGAATAAAACACACAGTCAAAAACATATAAAATATTATCCTATTCTTCCTAATTTTATATAAGGGAATCCACATCAGCTTCTTTGCTCTCCTACCTATTACCATATTTTGCTGTAACTCTGGTAAATAGGTATAGATGTAAGCCTGTTCATCCCTACTAGGGAACATGAGGAAGCACAAGGAATACACATTTCCCATTTTGAAATTAGGAGCATTTTAATATCTCTGTTTGTATTGACTACACACACCGTGAGTGCCAGCTACCTAGGATATTCTTTCCTGCTTGGCTAATTCCTGTATATCCTTTGAATTTCAGCTCAGGCATACAAATTTATTTTTAAGGCATTATATTGAACTGACATGATTTGTACCAGAGAGCAGAAAAAGGTTCTAGAAAACTTGTGAGTGCCTAGAATGTTACTGTGGCTCCACTGAAACATAACTGCCAGTTGAAAGGATGAAGTTAGAAAGTAGCAGGAAATAGGTATTTTTAATTGCAGTATACATAATTGCTTTGTTAGGTTGATTAGATGTACATATGCCATAGGTAATGACCAACTAAAAGATTAATTATTAACATAACTATTCACGTAATTCATTAGTAATATACTTTATACTTAAGACTCCACTGTGACAAATAATTATTAGCTTGGTAGATATCAGGTTTACTCGGTGAAAATATAGTAAAACAGCTATATGTTCCATTATGAAGAAAACAATTCAGATCATTATCACATTTAGGCATATTAAAGAAAAACTTAATTACTCATGGTATTAGCTGGCAATAGAAACACAGCATGAATATAATGAATGAGTAAGCTAACGGTTGCCTGTTAATGTGAATCTCCATATAGGGATGGCAAAAACAGTGAGACAGGATATCTGCAGAAGTTACCTTAACACAGGTACTTCAAAGGCCAAATGCCAGAAGAGTGTGGCTCCTTACAGCTCAGTGGTTCTCAACCATGGCTGCACCAAAGAATCACCTAGATAACTTAAACCACCTTCGCCACCCAAAAAAAATCCCACAAAAACAACAAAAGCAAACACACACAAAACAAGACAAAAAATATTGATGCCCACATCCCACTCTGAGATAACTAATTAACAAGTTTGGGTAGAACTTTGGTAATATTTTTTTTTTTTTTTTTTTTTGTGAGGAAGATTGGCCCTGAGCTAACATCTGCCAATCCTCCTCTTTTTGCTGAGGAAGACTGGCCCTGGGCTAACATCCACGCCCATCTTCCTCTACTTTATATGGGATGCCGCCACAGCATGGCTCGACAAACGGTGCGTTGGTGCGCGCCCGGGATCCGAACCTGTGAACCCCGGGCCACCGCAGTGGAGCCTGCCACTTAACCGCTTGCGCCACCGGGCCGGCCCCGGTAATAGTCTTTTTTGAAGTGCCCCACGTGGATTCTAATGTGCAGCCAGGGTTGTAATCCACTGAGTCATCAATAAGCAGAGTATTACATATTTAAAGAATGGGCTTACTAAAGAGATAATCTGAACACTGAGAGGCCCAGAGGAGTCCAAAGACCCTTAATTAATGGCAGTATGTTATAGCTCAGGAGAATGTGCTAAGCCCAAAATGTGTCTTTAACACGTGCATTGGCACAAAAATCCTCACAAAGTTTTGGGTGCCTGCACACAGGCTTCCAGGCTATCATTACTTGATGACATCAACCATTAGATCTTTTACTGTGCTAATTCCAGGCTTGTCAAGAAACCTTCTGACACTTAAATAATACTTAGAATAACTTTCTCCCTAGTGGCACATTTCCCTACAAGGAGGGAATATGCCCATCAAAAAATACACTATAAACGATTATTCTAATTTGTTCATCTATTCCGTCTGAGTTTAGTATGAGTCTTTTTCACGTGTCCTCTTATAGGTACTCTGAATGAAATCAAATTTTCATCTGCAAAGCTGAGAAAATCACAAAACATAGCATTGACACCATGGTATGATAACTTGCATGAATCCTTTAACCTGGCCAGCTAATCTTGCAGGCCAAAATCTCAACGTCACAATCAAAATCACAACAGCTACTAGCATAAGTCGGGGGAATGGACATATATTTCTAAGCGTCTCTGGGGATAATGGGTACGGGTAGAGGGTAATAAATTTTCTAGAAAATAATGTACCTTATAATAGGACCATATTTTCCCCTCATTATCAAAAGATTTATGTTTTTACAGGCTAGAACTGGGTGAAAACAGGAAGGTTGCGGGAAAATAAAGTGTGCTTATTTAATAATAAAAAATACTTATATGCTTGTGACTTCCACCCTCACCCTTGAGAAGCTTCCAAATTTGGAGAATAAGGAAAGGAGCCATAAATGATGACTGACAAGCTACAACTATAAAAGAGTGTTACATATTATGTTTTGACAACTATGTGCCAGGTACTACAGATAAATTAATTCATTTATTTACCCTCAAGGTGAATTCTTTTATTCTTTTATAGATTAGGAAAACGACTTGCATCTAAAACCTGTATTCCCACCGATTTCACATAGCTACGACATAATAGAAATAAAATTAGAATCCAATCTATATGATCCCAAGCTGACAAGGGATTAATCCCAAACAGTTTAACACTGACCTTCAAAATAAAGTTACTGGCAAAGTAAAAACACTCTCATAAAAATGAACTAAACTTTTGGATTCTCAATACAAAATCAAAATAACTATTAAGTAAGAGGTATGACACAAATTTAAAATTTTTAATAAATCATTTTTGTTTTTCTGCAGAAAAACTGACAATATGTACTTACTATTTTTACCCTTAAAGTCTGATCTATTTATATTGAAGTTACATATATTTTAAACAGTTAAATATATCACAGTCATCTCTTTTGCCTGACTCATAAAATAGAAAAGAGAGAAATAAAGTCAGTTAGCAACAATAAGACTTGTATTACACTTATCTCTCCTAACACATATTATTTTCATATATATATTATTTTTAAAAAGATTAAGCCAAGGTACACAACCAAGGAAAGAATCAAGCACTGCTTTAAAGAAGATAACTGTACCTTCAATTTCATATCTAATTTATTATAAACATGTTATGTCTCATATAAATTTTTTTTGGGGGGGAAAAACCCATAATTGCTATGATGACAATGTTGATAAAGAATTAGGAGTAATAAACCACCACAATATTTTAAAATCTGAGATACATATAAGTAATATATAAGTAATTACTTACCTCAGACATAGGGGTTCCCCAGAAGTCATTCTGAAATAAAGTTTTTAAAGGTGTAGACGGATGCAGGTCTTTATTATCCAGTATTGCTGAAACATCATCAAAAACAAAACCACAAAAGAGGCTGTTCCAATAGCAGGCAGTAACCACACCTACTATTAAGGTTACTTCTTTGAGGTTAATATCAGCCATGTTTTCCACAAACACTTGTGGACAAAATCTGGGGAAAAAAATCATGAAGATAAAATGAAATAAGCAACATATATTTTTCAAAAAAGTACAATTTTAAGAGAAGAATAATAACTACAATCAAGATTGAATGCTAATTCTCCAGGAGAATTAATTCAAAGCTCAGCTCAAATGTCATTCACCCCTACGAAGCACTAGCTGACCACCTCTCCATATTCCTAACGTAGGACAGAACTGCCCCTTCACATGTGCTTTCATAGCTCTATCACAGTCCTTGATCACCCCACTTAATCTGTGGACCTCTCTCTCTAGCAAATTAGATGAACTCCTTATCAATCGTTACAGGTCAGGTTACCTGGGAAACACATATATACAAGTTAACTCTAAAAAACGAGTATGATGTGCTCCAGGAATAGCTAAACGAATCTTTGTTGGAAAACAAATACTTAAAAAGACACGGCTCATGGGTTTTCTGAAATGTAGATGAAGCTTATATTTCAGTACTTTATGAACTAAAGATCAAGTATTATTTAAAGCAGGAGTCCAAACTTGCGGCCTACAGTCTTGTTTAGTTTGACCAAAAGCCTTTCAAAAATATTTGTCTTGAATGCCTTTATGCTACTGTACACCAGCCAGTTAACCACAGTCCCATTATCTTTCACCCAGATTGATTTATTTCATTGATTTATGTTATCTGCTTGGCCGTTGAGTATATGAGTTTATGATCCAGATCTAAATCATGGTTTTTCTTTTTCCCATTACAACAAACGCTTTTAATCTAGAGAACGGGTTTCATCCATGACAATTCATAATTAAGTCACTGTTTTAGAAAGGATTCAGTAAGGAAATGGTTTAGAGTAGAAAGGGAACTGGAAGATAATGAAGAATAGCCCTATGATAAAAACATGGTTGGAAGGTACTCTAAAAAAAAAACAAGCTGATGATATCCTTTCCTAGTTTGAGTAGTGTCATTAGTATCATTTCAGCATTATCACCTGTGGAGGGCAGAATAATGGCCCCCAAAATTATCCATATCCAAATTCCCTGAACCTGTGAATATGTTACATTACATGGCAGAAGAGACTTTATAGGTGTGATTACATTGAGGATTTTGAGATGAAATTATCCTGGATTATCTGGGTAGGCCAGTTCAATGGGAAGAGACCTTACAAGTGAAAGGAGGAGGCAGGCAAGTCAAAAAAGCAGAGGTCAGTGTGATAACGATAGCTGGCTGGGGGCCATAAACCAAGGAATTATGGCAGCCTCTAAAAGCTGGAAAAGGCAAAGAAATACATTCTTCATTAGAGCTTCTAAAAGGAGATAGCCTTACCAACATCCCGATTTTAGTCTAGTGAGACCCGTTTCAGACTTCTGACCTCTAGAACTATAAAATAACAAATTTGTGTCATTTTAAGCTACTATGTTTGTGGAAATTTGTTATGGCAGCAATAGAAGACATACATTACTCACAGAGCCAGAAGATCTGAGACTTGAGATATATCTGTAGGAGTTCTGGTCAGATCAGAGAGGAAGAACAGGGTAGAGAGAATGGGTAGAGATTTAGAATCAGATGTAAGACTTATATAAGGATATGTATACAAGAGCCTATGGGATATATATAAAAGAGCCTATGGGAAAGTATTAAAGTCTCTTTAGAATCGGACAAGGAAAACTTAGAATATGTTAGATGTTTTAAAGAAATGCAAAATCCAATCCAACAAATCAGGAAAGGAAACTGGCTGCACCCTTTGAAGAAGCATAATTTTCAATTAAAAGAAAAATTATCCAACGGCTTATCTTGAATCCACAAGTGATTTACCATCTCTAAATGGTATGGACTTGTACACACTTATTATCACAAAAAAAGTTGATGGTGCTTGTTTAAAGATTGGAGAGACTGAAGAGGTATTTGCCTCAGCTCCCTCCCAACCACAAACTAAAATGATGTCAAGGTATTAAAAAAAAAAAAGAAGACTATAAATTCACAAGGATGAAAACAATTGGAGAGGAAATCACAGCAAATTTTGGAAGCTGGAAAGGCAAAAGGATTAGTAAGTAACTCAACAGAGCTCAGGAAAGTGAATCCTAAGCTGAAGTGGGGAAAGCTGAAAAGTTTTTTGTACTCCTGCCAGCATCGATCTCAAACACTGGTGCCAAGGATCTCAGCAAACAGGGGTAGGAACAGATGGCTCTGTTAAAGTTTAGACCCGTCTCTCACCAGGTACAGCCAGGTAACCTTCCCTCCTATAGCAAGGCAGAAGACTGGAGACTTCCTCTATGGAGTAGGTAAAATAGAGTGTCTGACCCAGGGGACACAAGTGAGAACAAAGGCAGCACATTGAAAGTGAGGGTTAAGTAAAAGTCTGTCTATGTATTTTAAGAGCCTCCAGCTCTCTTCTAGCAACTGGGCACAGAATCTTGTAAAATTTTACAACACTAGAAACAAAAAAAAGGATTTTAAAAGCTTCCAGAAAGAAATAAAGCAGTTTCCATACTAAAGAGTAGGAATCCAAACAAATCTTTTTTTTTTCACTAACAACACTGGAAGCTAGAAAAAAAAAAATCCAAGAAAACAAAAAGGGAGCAACGCTTCAAATTTCTGAGGGATAATAGTTTCCAACCTAAAATTCTGTATTAATAAACCCAAATTTCCCAAGTGGGAAAGTAGAATAAAAATATTTTGAGACATTTAAAATCTCAAAAATTTACCTCCAATGTCTCCTTTCTCAGGACACTAATAGAAGAGGTACTCCACTAAAACGAAGTATACTAAGAAACAGAAAGATAGGGAGCTGTTTCAGCTGCTAGCAGGTTAATTTCATAGGGCTGCTTCCCCCGCATGCGGGCACTACTAGCTTCACCATTACATGTGTGGATATTTTTACCAGCTTACTGCTTGCTACACCTACCAGGAACACCTCTGCAGAGCAGGCTACACATGTGCCTCCAACCTTTATTATTTATGGTGGAGACCTCCCATGCTTTGGAGGACAGCACCTCACGATCATTTGCAAGATGCGCTCTAGTGATCCCCAAAACTTACTGAGAATTTGTGATAACAGTAGATGCTCCCAATGGCACACGCATCCCAAATCCATGCATCCCTGTTACATTCCTTGGCCCCTCAGTCCCCTCCTGGGTGGCTCCCTGGGAGAGGGAGGCTCCCTGGGTGGCTCCCAGCCCACAACAGCACGGGAATCTGAGAGATAACAATAGCAATGGTGTGGGACACAAGGATTCAAGAGAGAACAACAGCCTATATGATGCTGCAGGACATAACTGCATCCCGGATGCTGCCCCTGCAACCTTCCACTTTAGCAGAGATGACACCCAGGAAGACATGGCAGCTGATGATGGCAAGCACTTTCTGGGACCTGGCTGCTGAACTGAATGCTTGTTTATCTAAATCCCTGCTGACAATCCCCTTGAGTGGCATTTTGCAGAGTTAACTATGTGTTTAGCCCAAGGCCACCTTGTTTATTACACTTGCTGCCTGACTGTGAGGTGGTATTATGACTGCCAGGCTGCTCTCTGTTGTGCCTTTGAGCTTTGGAAGGCCAAGGATGAATCCTGCAAATATAAGCCCACTAGTCTGGCTTCACAGACATCTCTAAGCAGGAGAGGGCCCTTATGATGGCAGTGGCAAGTGTGGGGCCCATCTCTGTTAGTATAGATGCAGGCCAGGATACTTTCCAGTTCTATAAAAATGGCATTTATTATGATCCAGACTGTAGCAGTGCAGACTTGGATCATGATGTTGTGGTGGTTGGCTACGGCTTTGAAGGAGCAGAATTGGATAATAATAAACATTGGCTTGCCAAGAACAACTAGGGCACAGATTGGGGCATGATGGCTACATAAAGATAGTCAAAGACTGGAACCACCACTGTGGAATCGCCACCATGGCCAGCTATCCTACTGTGTGAGATGATGGTGATAAAAGAAGGACTCGACTGAGAAGAGAATATCCAGAGGAGGAATTTTATCTTAAAACTGACCAGACCTTATTGTGTGGGATAAAACACTTGAATCCTTTAAGATCCAAGTTGTGATTTGAATTCTACATTTTACACTGGTAAAATGTTACCATTTCTTTAATTACTGATGTCAACAGCTTTGTATTACTGACTTGCCTAATAACTTCTGAAGTTTCATTTTTTAAAAGGATGTATAAAGTTTTACTTTTTAAAACAAAATTTAATTTCAAAGCAAATGAAAAAAAAAGAAAGACAGGGAAATTAGGAGACAAGGGATCCAACACAAGACAGTGAAAAAGGAAAGACAATGACAGCCAGGCAACCAGGCCTACTAACCAGTACACATTGGAACAGGTCAGAAGGTTCCTGAACAACAGTCCTAAGAAGATATAACCGACAGAACACCTGATGTTTAAACACAGTGAGTGAAGAACTAGTCACTCTTGTGTGTGTATAACTGTAATTCAGAAAAACAAAACAACTCAAGACATCCACCACTGGGTAGGTGAATATCAAGTCTTGTGTATGGTTCAGAAACCTCTCTCCCATAGGAGGGGAGTAAAAGAGTAGAGCTTTCAGACAGAGGTCAAACTAAAGAGACCATCGACTTAATACAGATTGCTATATATGTAGGTTGCTATATGTGAACCTCATGGCAATCACAAACCAGAAACCTATAATAAATACACAAAAAACTAAGAGAAAGGAACCCAAACATAATATTACAGAAAGCCTTCAAACCACAAGGGAAGAGAGCAAGAGAAGAAGAAAGGAACAGAGAAGCACTACTAAAACACCGAGAAAAAAAGTAAAAATATGGCAGTAAGTATATACATATCAATAGCTACTTTAAACGTCAATGGACTAAATGCTCCAATTAGAAGGCATAGGGTGGTTGCCTGGATAAAAAACAAGACCCATATATATGCTGCATACAAGAGACACACTTCAGACCTAAAGACACTCAAAAACTGAAAGTGAAGGGATAGAAGAAGATACTCCATACAAATGGCAATGAAAAGAAAGCTGGGGTAGCAATACCCATATCAGACAA